ATTTTTACAGAATTGAGGTTTATTATAACGAGTTATAACATATTAAGACAGAATAAATATTTTATTAAATAAAATTTAAAATTTAATTTATTAATATATCGATAGAGTTAACAACAGTGATGTAACGAAAAGAATATTTCTATCTTTACTAAATTTTATTATCCAAGGTATTCATAATTGATTAAAAATTTGTAAATGTGGAGAAGAAACGATTACACGCGGAAAGAGTAGAGTCAAAGTTTTTGAAGTGGTCAAATGGATACAACCAAAGTGTAATAAAAGAGAGTTCTGAATGGCCAATAAGAAACCACGACAACCCCCCAGGTACATATTCCGTACTCAACCATTCTCTCTCTCTCTCTCTCTTAAATTCAAGCACGTGACTAATTGACACCACCCCGGATATTTCACTAATTACTTTTTAAGCGGCCAATTAAATCAAACGTGTTTCCCTTGATTTAGATAAAATTGAATTGGTCCCACACGGGTTGTCACTCGCCGGTCCCAAGGTTTATTTAATTATAGCCAATTTTTTCTTTCTTTTCTGATAATAATTGATACATTCCATCTCTAAATATATAATAAATTTAAGTCATGGATATAATTATTGAATCTAATCAATGTGTTTTTATAATACATCCAAAATGAAATTAACCATATTATAGGTATATATATATATATATGGAACCTTAATTACAAATAAAGAAAAAGATAAAATAAGCAGGAGTAATGCATATATATATATATATCTATATATGTATAGTTGAGCTATAAGTAACATGACGTGTTGGAATTTCTTATAATTATACTAGTCTCATTTACTTTATAACAAGGCATAAAGTAGTCGCTTATTTAGAAAAAAGAAATTAAAGGTATGAATCAAAACGAGGAGTGGAGTGGTACGTATTTATAATTAATCATTTAACGTGTGGAAGACCTCGGCAAAGAAACAAAATGTACACGATAAAAGTCATTATTAAATAAATTATTGTAAAATGATCAAGACGTTGATTTGGAAATTGCATACCCTCTTAATATAATTATCGTATTACTTCATAAAAATTTGATATTTGTTATAATATAATTTTTAATATTTTTTATTGTAATTTCGTTTATGATATTTTTTATTTACTTTAAATATATATTTTTTATTTTCGTATAAAAATTCAAATATTTGTATCATATTTAAATATAATTTAATTAATGAATTAATAATAATAACAAATATAATATTTTAATGATTTATTAATTTAATTAATAAATAAACATTAATTCTTAAGTTTATTTTTTAAAATATTCAAACAGTTTTTGGTTTTTTAATTAAAAAATTTTAAAAAATAAATAATATATAGAGGTCCGGAACTTAAAAAATAAAAAATAAAATCATGAATTAAATGCGGAAGCGAAATAATAGAGTTTAATGTTCACATTCATTACACAATAATTTAAAATGCCCAATAAAGTTACGAAAATCTTCATTCTAAAACAAATAAACGAAAATCAAATAAATAAACAAAAAGTAATGTACCGAGCATTCTAAAATGAACTTCACTAGCTTTTGAAGGGAGTCCGGATGGTGAACTATTCACAACTCTCTTGTTGATGGAGATTTGGGTCTTGGTCCTCTTGATATGAAATAGTTAATGAAATTGTGAGTTACACTACCCCAGTAAAAATATCACATTACTCACTGAGACAGAAACTGAAAGTTGGTAAAAATAATAAAAATAACAAATTGAGCTATTGATTTAAGTAAATTCATTTATCATAAAGAAAAACTATTTATTACATATATTTACTATTGCGATATTTCTAAAATCGAGTGCGGGTGGTGAATTATTCACAACCCCCTTATAATCAGGATATGGATTTTGATCATCTTGATCTGAAATGGTTAATGAAAGGGTGAACTACACTAGCCTAATAAAAATATCACACTACTCACCAATACAAAAGTGAAGGTTGGTAAAAATCATAAAAAGAACCAATAGAGCTCTTAAATTAAGTAAATTCATTTATCATAACTAAAATCATTTATTGCATACTTACTGTAGCGAGATTTTCAAAATCGACCTATAGAGATAATAGCTCAACAACATCATAATTTCATATTCAAGTAAATAAGAATAACAACTTTTTCTTTTTATTTATCTACTGGTATCCATGAGGGTCCACCGAGATGTCCCACTACACGTGAATCTATATCAAAATTTGTTCTTCTTCTCCAGTAGAAGGTTGGCAACTAGGGTTTGGGTTTAGTGTGATGCGAAAGATTTATACCCATCTTGTGTTAATCTGAACCGTTCATCGCGTTTGATCTCGACCCTCTAATCGCGTTTAAAGACTGAATATGAACTGTTTATCGCGATTTGATCTCGACCATCCAATCACGTTTAAAGAATGAACGAATCTGAGCCGTTCATCGTGTTTAATTGCGACCGTCCGATCGCGTATGATGAGGAAACGGATTCGGACC